TAATGTAATTTTTCAAGAAACTTATGAAAATATCAATTGAAACTAAATAAAATGTCTTTGAAACTGAAAAAAAATTAAATGCAGGCAAAATCTTTGACTTCATTTTTAATACACTGCATGTTTTGCAACTGTTTTCACTGATCTGTACTTTCAAATGCGCTTCCAGAATTTTCATTTACGCCTCTAAAGTTTTCGTTTACGCTTCTGAAGTTTTAATTTACGCTTCTGAAGTTTTCGTTCGCCATTCTGGCACAAATCTCTCGTGGGGTCGGGGCTAGCAGCAGTGTGTTCTCATTGGCTACTGAGTTTTTGATTGACAGCTTTTTGACCTGGAAGTGAAGGCGTCAGTGACAGTGGCTACGTTTACATGCACAATTTTGGGTTAAATCGGACTGAATTCATTCCGATTGATGAATCTGAATGTTGTGTTTACATGAATGCTAAATAAAGTGATCGGGTTGATGTGCGCGTTTATATGTCACAAGCTTCAAATCGGAATAGATTTTTTTTTCTACATGCGCACACTGCACAAATATAGAGTTTCTCAACTGTTTGCACATAATAACCACTCTCCTACATGGTTTCTTTGTTTGTTTTTAACAGCAGAATTAATAAATGCCCCTCCCCGCGCCCAAAACGGGTTGACTGTGGATGAGTATCCAAAACAAGGTCTGGTGGGAGGTTGCCCTGCTCCACTTCACAGTTGCCGAGTGAAAGGAGAGTTTTATAATGACAGGACACGCATTTATAACACTTTATTCAAAAGGAAGAATAGCTCCTTCCGCGCATCATACGTCATTACGCTAATTCTGCGTCATTGCACATGCGCAGTCCTTTCAGTTTCGGGGTTCAATCCGATCGAGTGTTTACATGCACTCTCAATCGTATTAGAAAAGGAATAAACCACCCCCTTCAATCCGATCGAAATTTAATTACGATCGAGCTCAATCGAATCGATTAAGGTGTTTACATGAAGGCTTTTCAGTCCGATTGAGCCGTCAATCCGATTACAAACTGATTATTTGGTTGCATGTAAACATAGCCAGTGTTGCCTTGCCACTGTTTGTGGATGTGAGCGGCTTCCAGTTTAATTTTAATGATATAAAAAGATATATAAAGATTTTTTTATTATTATTTTATCAGTATTTATCTGCTGCTACACTACATTGTTGAGATGATTTCTTAGGAATAGCACAGACGAATGATTTCATCATCAATCATCATCGTTATCAGGATACTCGCGGTAAGTTTTCTTGATTTAGCCCAATCATTACAGGACCTGGTTATCTACATACAGTTACAGTCTTTAATTAGATCATATTTGCTTCGATAGTTCACATTTTCCCCCAGCACGTGTAATGTACAGTACTAAATGTACTGTATTTGACAATAACTGATGCCATTTTACAAGCGGACTGGACAGGTAAACACAAATTAAGATTTTTAGGCAAATAATCCATCTCTGTGAGTCCTAAAGATGCTTTAAAAACCACACACAGCTACCGTGACAGTAATCCATCTGACCTTAATGGTTGAATCAGTATCTTTTGAAGTGAAACAACAGATAAGAAAAACACTATTAATTTAAACTTTTGACTATTAACGATCGCTTCCGATCAACTATTATACGTGCATGGGTCACAATTCACTTGCATTATGCGGATTCTCAGAGATGGATTATTTTCTTAAAAATCTTTGTGTTTCGTCGTTATCAGGATACTCGCGGTAAGTTGTCTTGATTTAGCCCAATCATTACAGGACCTGGTTATCTACATACAATTACAGTCTTCAATTAGATCATATTTGCTTCGATTAGTTCATATTTCCCCCAGCACATAATGTACAGTACTAAATGTACTGTATCTGACAATGACCGATGCCATTTTACAAGCGCGCTGTCAATCACTGCACTGTCAACTTTAGCAATGTAAAGCCTTTTTACCATGCATTTTCTGTGTCCAGATTTGACTGTAATAATAATGCAATAATGGGGGGGGGACAAACTTTGACAAAAAGTAGTCTTTAATAATGCCTAAATATATATCCAAATGCAAAACCTAATACATGCAAATAATTATGACTGAAAATAGTTTCCAGTAACTGTCCGGAGTTGACTGTAATAATACTGCAAAAATGGTCACTTCAGATTAATATTTCGGGGTATTTCGGGCAAAACCTAATACATGCAAATAATTATGACTGAAAATAGTTTCCAGTAACTAAGGGTATACACAGTCATGGATATATAGTGCTATACAGCCATCTAATGGTTACACAACGGTATTACAGATGATAAAGGTGCATAATTTTGAGGTATTTAGTACTAAGTTAACACTAATATATATAACTAATATATATATATATTTCACTTTGATACTTGTGTATATGCTATAGTGACAATAAAGAATGTACATTTATTTTAATTAATTCATATTTTCATTTACATTCATTAAAACTGGTTTATAAAAGTCACACTTGAAAGAGTTGATGATTGTTAAAATTTATTTCCAATTTTAAATGTTTGATGATAATGTTAACTAAATAAATTAACTAAACAAAATTATCAGCATGATAAAAACAATTGGCTGCAAGAACATTCTTCGTGTGGAATATGTAATAAAATGAGCTTGATTGCTTGGTTGGAGAGAGACTTTCTTGACGTCTGAATATAGCGCACATATATGATAGTATTTCAAATATAACCGCACAACCTTATTAGACCCTACAGTGCAAAAGTATCATGAGCAATAAACAAATATAATACAAGAACATTGGACATTATACAATATTTCCAGTATTATATACAGTACTTTAATAATTAAACCTCAATATGACCTTCTTTTTCTCTCGCGTTTGATTCCTCGCGCTCCTACAAGCTTATGTTGACAGAGTAGTAGCAACAAAATGAATTCAAAAACAAAACTCCTAACTTTATATCACTAAAATGAAATTGGAAGCCGCTAACAGACGCTCACATTCACACTGGCAAGGCAACATTGACGCCTTAAACTTCCAGGTCGAGAAGCTGTCAATCAAAAACTCAGTAGCCAATGAGAACACACCGCTGCTAGCCCCACCCTCACGAGAGGGTTGTGCCAGAATGGCGAACGAAAACTTCAGAAGCGTAAATGAAAACTCTGGAAGCGCATTTGTAAGTACAGATCAGCGAATGAAAGAGGAGAAAACCGTTGCAAAACATGCAGTGTATTAAAAACGAAGTCAAAGATTTTGCCTGCAATTTATTTTATTTTTTTTTCCGTTTTAAAGACACATTTTTAAAACGTCAAAGACGTTTCAATTTATATTATAAGTTTACTGAACAATAACATTCATTTTAATTGACACAAAGGTAATCCCATAAAGGACAATGTCATGGACTGTATGGCACAACCTTTCGTCTATGGTCGTGACATTAGCCGCCGTTCTGGAAGCTCCCAGTAGAGCATAATATCAGCGTCTGTTCACCGCCTCGGTGTCATTTCACAGTATGAACAGCAGGTGACAGTATTTAATTTAAAAAAATAAGTTTCACAATATAGAAACATTACCACAAACGTCTAATGAAAAAAATAATACATATATCTGAATTATGGCAACATAATTATATAGAACTGAGGACATAAGCTAATAACGTTTCAATTTCATTTCAAACACTTCTTCAGGAAAGTGAAAGTAGCAGTCAGCAGCAGGACTGAGGGAGATAGACACCATTTGATTGGCTGTTTAGGAGGAAGTGGTAACATTTATAAAGGTCTTTACACAGTATACACATGACAGCGTGACTTTGGTTCCTCTTCTTCCAAAGTACCTTGTGCTATTAATGTTGATGGACGAGTAAAGAGAAAAAAGATGAGGAGAAATCTTTATTTAGATATGTTTGTGGGTTTCTGAGTTGTTTGCAATTGGTTTGTCAGCACAATTTGTCATTCTATGAGGTTTGGAAAGGATTAATTTAGATAATTATTAATTAAACTCTGTTGTCAACAAAATTTGTGGCATAATGTGGCATTATTTGTGGCAGAATTGTCCCTCGTTTCATTTTTTTAAACACGTGAATTATTCAGTAAAAACAGTAAAAACTAATTATTTGATCTGTAACATTGCTAAAATTATCATTTTTGAGGTGGGGCCGTTTTTATAGCTGCTGAATTAATATGTGGTTATACTAACATAATTCCTGTGGTTTATCATTTTGTTTTTTGAAAGAAATTAATTTTTTTTTTAAAGCAAGGATTCAAAAAGTGACAGTAGTCTATAGACATTTACAATGTTACAAAAGATTTCTATTTCAAATAAATTCTGTTCTTTTGAACTTTCTATTCATCAAAGAACCCTGAATAATCCACAAAATCACAACTGTTTTCAGAATTGATAATAATAAGAAATATTTCTTAAGCAGGAAATCTGCATATTAGAATGATTTCTGAGCCATAATGTGATGCTGAAGACTACTGAAATGACTGCTGAAAATTCAACTTTGCCATCACAGGAATAAAGTTATATATATATATATAATTTCTATATTATATATCATTTCTATATTGTCTTTATAATTTATTATAAAATGGAAAAGTTATTTTAAATTGTAATTATATTTAACAATATTAGTTTTATTTTATGTTTGATCACATAAATGTGAGCATAAGAGACTAAATTTAAAAACAATAAAAATCTTATTGATCTTATTGATGTAAGTGTTCATTTACATAGACAACGCCACTAAGTTATCACATGCATAAAATAAAAATAAAGGTGACATGTCTCATGCTAACACATATATTTATTTAAATCATATGGCTATACTTTTGAAACGTTGTTAATGTTAATGTTCATTGCCTTGCCTTTTGTACTTCATTGGAATTATTTACTGAAATTTTTATTTTTGCTTTACAAATGTTTTTTTATTTTTTATTATAGTAATCAACATGCCACAAATGCTATCAGTATTGCATACAAAACATTCTAACAACACAGATAACTTTAAATATTTGTGTGTTGGTCAAAAGACAGGAGCCCAACAGAAAAAAATGTTGGTTGGTTACTCAGCTTCTGAGATACGCAGCACAGGTGAGCTGAAATGGGAGGTTGCTGGAGCTGAATAAGTGCTTAAATATTGCACAACGTTTTTGGATGAAGAATCCAGCTCTTCTACATGACTGGCTGTCTGTTCTTTGGCTACAGTCAGGCTGGTGGGCACCAGTGCCGGCATGACATCAGTGCCCAGCAGTGATGATCCGTAGCATGCCATGTTTTGCATGTGCTGACAAAACACCTCCAGCATTTGGACTTCCAGATAGCCGTTCAACATGGAGTTAGTGAGCCTTCTCTCCCAGCCAAGACCCTGAACGCTCTCCATGACAAGATATTCCACATCCTGCTGGGTCGCAGCCTCTACCTGTTGACCTGGTTCCAGAGAGGGTTCCAGAGAGCTCAGGTCCTGAGATTGCAGCAGTGGCCCGTCATCCGGTGGGTTGAGCAGGTCTGGGTTATGAGGACTGCAGTGCTCCAACCGATCACCTGCAAGCCGGAGGTCCGGATAGTCCTTGCAGAAGCTGGGACAGCACCAGGAGCAATACAGAGTCATGCCCAAGTGATCCTCCCCGCTACAGCTGAGAATGGGCATAGCATTGCTGGGTGCAGAGGCTCGACACTGCCCTGGCTTTCCCAGGCCTTCAGGCCTGCCAACTGACAGGAAGAAAAAATGGGTCAGGCACCACTATAACCAGCCTCATCTTAACAAAATAGCCAGAAACCAGTGAGGAAACTTGAGGGAAAGCCCAGAGTCCAAAGCAAAGTCCCACTTTGCAGCTCACTTAATTCACTGAATGACTGTTTCAGTGTCTCCATACAAATGCCAATTGTGTGCAGTTCACACTCACCTAAATGAGGAAGTACTTGGAAAAGTTTGACAAAATGTTTTTATTTAGTTTGGATTTCTGATACAGTGGACTTCAAGCCTCTTTTGCATTGTCATAGCTGTAAGCTGAATTGGACTATTATCAACAATGCTAAAATGGACTTAGTACAAAATAATAGTACATTATTTTGTTATACACTGTTGCACAATATTATCACTTAAAGTCAACATGAAAATAAAATTAGATTGTCTTTTCTTCTCTATTACAAAGTGTACCTGAATACAAAGGCTTCTCAAATGAGAAAAAGAGGGTATGATTTTGTCAATTTGGAATTCATTGTTGTCTTGCCAATTGCTGCGATCTCTCGTGAGTGACAGGTTGTTGATGATTGTTGATTTTTTATTAAACATTACAGGGACACATGAATCTTTAATCTTTAATGAATGCATGGATAAATCATTTGTAATATACACTGCAATATTTCATAAAATATAAGAATTGTCGATTTTGATTTCATGGTGACTTTAAATGCATAGTTCACCCCAAAATAAACATTTGTCATAATTAACTCACCTTCATATAATTTAAAAACCTGTATACATATTTGTATATGTTTTGAAAGTGTTTTTTGTCCATACAATGAAAGTTATTTTGGACTATATTTATTTACACTGTATGGGTATATAGCTGACATATTCTTAAAAACTCTTAAAAACATTTCTAAAATGATGACAGAATTTTGATTTTTCGGTGAACTATCTATTTAACTTTGTACAACCTTTCATATTATAACTGTTCCATATACTCTACTCAGTTTAACACCTACATGTATGTGGCTAAAACTGGGCTAAAATTCTCAGCAGCATCACACTTCCTTCCTAAAATGTATTTTTACATATACTGACTGTTCCCAGGACCTGGGCCACATTCATAGTCTATAATTAATATTGCTCCATTGTTTAAACAAAATAGCTAGTTTGCTTCACCCAGCATAAAAACAAACATCTCCCAATGCCATCATTCAGATCGTGAAAATGTTATTTTTAACACAACCTAATCCTAATAACCCAGAATACTATGGTCTCTCACCTCTCACAGTTCGTGGTGTCAGAGGTGATCTGGCAGCGGCGTTTGTCGTGCAGGGGTTGGGACGGGTCGTGGGGGTGGGTGAGTGTGTGCGAGCGTGTCTATCATGATCTGTGGTGTCTTCTGTGCAGTTCAGAACATGAAGGAAAGCTTCTCCAAGCATGATAGCCACTTACACAGACAAACACAGCTCAAGCTTTAAATGAATGAACATTTTAACACTTACTCAGTACAAAAACAAAGCATAATCAAACAGAAAATCAAACATATAATGAAATCAAAATGAAATGAGGAATTTACCAGAACTGAATGACAGAGTTATTTATTATATATATATATATATATATATATATATTATACTTTTGGATCTCCAAAAAGCTTTTGACTCAGTAAATCATTCAATAATCTTAGATAGATAGAGTGTCATGGGTTTTTCAAGTAAATTGATAGCCTGGTTAAACTCTTATTTAAATGGGAGAGTTCAGAGGGTAGAATTCGATGGGATACTTTCTGAGGAAACAATTGAAAAAATGGAGTCACTCAGGGAATTGTTTTAGGCCCTCTTTTGTTTCTCTTATACATAAATGACATGCAAGCAGTTTGTGATTGTAATTTGTTTTTATATGCTGATGATTCTGCTATTGGATTCAGACAAGGATGTTGGTAGGATACAAGTGAATTTAGGTGAGGAGCTTTGTATGGTAAGAGACTGGCTTTCTGAAATCAAACTCTTGTTGCATTTAGGTAAAATGATGAAAACAAACTGATGTTGCATTTAGGTAAAACGGAATCCATATTATTTGGGTCTAAAAATAATTTGAATAAGGTTTCTAAGATGTCTATTAAGGTAGGGATTGTTTAATATCAAACAGAACCACCGTTAATTATCTCGAATGTGTTCTTGATAATGATTTAAGTGGTGTAATATGGCTATGAAAGTTCTGGGTAAGGTTAATGCTAGAACAAAATTTCTTGCCAGATATGTTAGTTTTCCTAAAAAACAGAATATAAAATTACTTGCATCATGTTTAGTGCTATGTCATTTTAAATATGCATGTATTTCTTGGATGTCTGATTTGTCTCGTGGTTGGTTGGATAAGTTACAAAAATCTCAAAACAAATTGATAAGGTTATTTTTAGGGTTTAGTCGTTTTACACATGTTGATGTTTCCCAATTTAAGCATCTTGATTGTTTACATAGAAAGCAGAACAAAATACATTTAATTAAAAAATTGTCTTCTTTTGAATACTCTGGGGCACAAGTGTTGTATAAGTTACCTCTGGATATTTAAAGTATTTCAAATATGGGTAGTTTTAGTTTAAAAATTAAAAGTTGGCTCTTAAGTAGGTTGTTTTATTGATGAACTTGTATTAGTATATGTTGTGTATGTATTTAATTGTGATTGTAAATTTTGTAAATGTGGAATCCTATTGTAATCTTTGTATTTATAATGCATTACCAGTGTACCTGTTACCAGGATTGAAGTTTGTGCTTAACATCAAGGACCACAATGGAAACAAGTTTTTAACTTTGTTATTCTTGACGAATTTAGTGTTTCACTACTTTTCTGTCTAATAAATCAAATCAAACCAAATCAAATCAAATTCTTTATAAATGATTTATATTTGTAGGATTAGCAGAATCTATAAATTAAATTACAAAACTTAAAGGGATAGTTAAACCAAAAATTACAATTCTGTCATCATTTACTCACCCTCAAGTTGTTCCACACCTGTATGCATTTCTTTCTTCTGTTGGGCACAAAAGAAGATATTCTGAAGAATGTTTGTTGGCCAAAAAGTTGACGGTAGCCACTGACTTCCATAGTTCCATAGTATGGAAAAAAATACTATGGAAGTCAATGGCTACCGTCAACTGCTTGGTTACCAACATTCTTCAAAATGTCTTCTTTGGTGTTCAACAGAGGAAAGATCATACAGGTTTGGAACAAGTGGAGGGTGAGTAAATGACTACATAATTTTCATTTTTGGGTAAAATTGCTCTTTAAAATGTTCATAATTTAGAAGATTACTACAATTTTATTGCTGTAATCAGATCAATCAAATACCCCAAATAAACTGTACAAATTATAGTTAATAAAACACCAGCAGATAATTCTATAATCACAACTATCTATTTATATATATATAAGAAAGAAACTTACCAAATGTTTTAGAATGGGATTCCTGTTTGTAGGCCTATGGCTGCAGAAACGGAAATTTCAAGAGTGATACACAGCAATGTCTAATGTGACACTTTCAGATAGTTCTTTCATCTATCTATCTATCTATCTATCTATCTGTCGATGGCTGAGATGTTTTCTCTGGTCTGGCGTCTCTGGTCTGGGTAGCAACAGAGGAAGTAAGCTGTTATATCTCTCTCTCTCTCTCTCTCTCACACACACACACACACACACTTACACAGATTAGGTCTCTGCTTGAATAAAGCAGAAGTGAGAAAGGCCTTGTGGCTTCTCTTCTCTATTACTGATTGCCACACGCGTGTACACTTACTGCAAATGATGTTTCATTTTATTTGCACTCAAGCATGTTTTCATAGAAAGAGCGCATAATTAGAGCAAGCAGATACTTCTGCTTACCTGCTTCAAAAAATAGTCAGCAATTAGTAAACTTCACTGAGGCAGATATGCTGTGGCCATGCAGCGCATACAGACATAGCTATGAAAGAGGGTCTGACTTTATTACTGGGCTTAAACGCGAGCTGTTCCTCATCACATCAGTGCTGTATGGCAGTGCTTTATTTGGTGCAGCACGCGCTCACATCAGTCTACAGCTTTTTAACATGTTAGGAGGGAAATTTTACAGGAAGGTGCGCCGTTGGATTTACACCTCAGGATTTCGCGCGTAAAAGCACAGCGGAGGTAAAAATCTGCCTCTTCTGTGGCAGACCCAGACGCTCGCTGATTGGACAAGCGGAATATCAGTCACAGCATGGCCCCGCCCCCACCCTCCCATTCAACCACTGGATCTAATGTAGCCCTATGTTTACTACAGAATTAGTGCATAGCGGACGACAGTCTCCTGAACTGTGAACTCCGAATCACAAAAGATAACCTGTTAGTTTTGCATAAAAGAAGAAAAATATCCCAAACTCAACATGCCCAAGAGAAAGGTATGTAGAAAAGCCGAGCGCGACGTTCGGCTACACTTTTGCCCTTACTAATCAGTCGTGGAATTAGGAAGCCCTCGAGACAATGTTTTTTTAATAAAAATCCAGGCGACTTCTTTAGAATCAGTGGGCAGGTAAAAAATCGTTGTTAATTTTGCGATTTTTTCCTACCGGATCGCGGTGTTTTTGTCGATGGTGGTACGTTAAGCAGAAGGGTTTTAGTTGAGCAGCGCTGTGCTGAAGCTCGGCTTGATCTCATGCCCGTGGAACCGCAGCCATGCTGCCCTCTCTCTCTCTCCATCTCCAGCACAGCGCGACGCGAAAACCGACGATTATAAGCGCAATCGTGGCTCAGTCGCCGTTGAATGGTGATTAAAAAATAGCTAGATAACTCTCATTTTCTGAATGGTGGCAATTTTGCGAAAAGACGGTCGCGTTTTTAAACTATTTTAATGCATTTTCTTTGTTCGCCGTGGAAGAGGGGTGTCATGACTCCTGCTTGCCGCCAGGTGGCAGCGCTGAGGCGGGATCATCGCGCCCCTCCTCCTTGTTCAAATGTGTGGAGCCCATGTCGTGAAATGCCTTGGTGAAAAATAATAAATAATAAAAAATCGACACACCATTTTGCGCTGCTGTCCGCAGACAAATAAACTTATTCACAAATCCTCTGCTAAAGTTCATTTAAGCTTTAATAAACGAAAAAAAACCCAGCATGTTGCTCACATATACAAACGTGCAGAACAGCACATCCCAATGTTTCTGCAAGTTGCCTTTTTGTTTTCCCGCCTTTTATGTTAATAAAATTATAGATCACGTTCTAACTTGTGATATTTGTTTTTCTGATTTGCAGGGAACTGATGGAGAAGTCAAGGAGGAGGTGAGAAAGGAAAATTATAAAATATCTAAAGCAATTTTGGGTTGCATATTCAAGTAATCAAAACCAGTACATATGCATTCCTGTATATATACATTTACATTTATTTATTCAGCAGGAGCTTTTATCCAAAATCGAATTACAAACAAGAAACACCAAGTAATTTGTCATAAGAGCCAATAATATTTGTAGTACACTGTGCCAAGTTTACTAAGTGTGCTGATAAGTAGCCTACACAAACTAGAAGAGAAGGAACATGATTTTTTTTTTTTTTTTTTTTTTTTTAAAAAAAAAAAAAAAAAAAAAACTCTAGCTTTCTATTCTACTTGTTTTTCTTTGTTTGTGTATATATATATATATATATATATATATACACACACACACCTTGCTACGTGTACTGCGTTAGCAGGAGCTTTTATCCAAAATCGAATTACAAACAAGAAACACCAAGTAATTTGTCATAAGAGCCAATAATATTTGTAGTACACTGTGCCAAGTTTACTAAGTGTGCTGATAAGTAGCCTACACAAACTAGAAGAAAAGAAAAAATTTTTTTTTTTTTTTTTTTTTTTTTTTTACAATATATAACTGTTCTCTCCTACTTGTACTTAAATAATTCGATTTTTTTTTCTTTCTTCCTCTTGTAGCCTCAGAGAAGGTCTGCTAGATTATCGGCGGTAAGTTCTTTTCTTTTTAAAGAGATTTTTAATGTTAACATTATATCATTATTTTATTTGTATAAAGTCTTTGGCCTCAAAAGACTTGAAGAACTTTAAATATAGTCTTGGAAATTGTTTTTAGCACTTTTTGTAATAATTGACAATTTAATTCCTACAACCAACACTTTCAACCTACCACTGATCGCAGAGCAACAAGATCAGAAACCATAATTTCTGCACAAGTTTTATTTTTTTTTTAATTTCAGCATATTTTCTGTATAATATTTTTTTTTATTCTTCAGCATAGTTTTGCCAGTCATTTAAGGTGATGTGTAGAATTCAGGATAGGGCAGAACAACATAGACCATTCTATGTATTATTATAACTATTTACTTGAACATGGTTATTGTTTAGATATCCTTGTATATATCAAAAAGTAAATTTGTGAACGAGTCATGTTTTCATTTCCCTTCAGAAACCAACACCTCCAAAACCTGAACCCAAACTGAAAAAAACTCCCAAGGTATTTACACTTTTTATAAACACATTTTTGCACTGATGCTCATGTGTCACTTGTCTCCATGATTTGGTGTGTAGTCTGTGTAATACGTATTGCTCTATATTCATTCTTTTGCTCTGACGTTTCCTCTCTGACAGAAAGAGAAGGAAGTGAATGATAAAAAGGAAGAAAAGAAAGCAAAGGCTGAGGAATCCAAGGAGGAAAACCAATCAGAAAATGGGGAGACTAAGACCAATGAGGTATATATGTATAAACACAACAGTCTACCTCAAATCAGCGTCTATCATACATAAACACACCTTACTTGTCCCACAGTGGACATAATAAATCGCGTCAGGTCATGATATTTGTTTGTGTATTGAGTTTCCTTTCCAAACACAAGCAATAAACACATTTTTGTCAGCTTTTTAATATCTTCTAATAACATTGCAAAAGTACTTAGTAACATAGTTAAATTAATTCCCCAGATCTCTCAAAACAAAGACATCGATAGCTTAAGCTAAGGAGAGTTTTCTAAACTTTACCTCCTTAAGATTCTAATTAGTGAAGAGGCAGTCCTGCTTGATTCTTGTTGTTGTTGTTTTTTTAAACAGGTTGAAAAAACTCCAGACGAGGCAGCGGAGCCCGAGAAGGAGGACCCGAAGACAGAGTAGCACCACGCCTGTCCATCCATCCATCTTTTCCCTTTCCCCCCTTTCCTTTCTTTTATCTTCCTCTCTTTCCCAGTTTTTTCTCCCTTTCCAGCTCTCTCAACAACCTCCTCTCTGCCTATCACCACAAGAGGAATATTTTTATCAGCAAATTTGTAAATACTGGTTCAGGTTTTTAGCACAAAAACAAAGCTGACTAAAACGAGTCTTGTGTTCGGCCGCAGCTGTATCAGGTGTCTACAACACGACAGGTGTGGAAAAAGGCGGCATCTTTCTATAATTTTTTGATTTCCTATTTTTATTTCTTCTTCTTTTTTTTTTAAGCGGCTGGTCTGTAGCTTGGTTTTTGGAGTGGGAGGTGGGAGGAGGCTGTCAGTCTGTATGTCCGTTAGTGCTCGTGATGTTTCTGTATGGGGTTTGTTTTTATTTTTATTTTAAACGTAATTGATTGTCTTTAAGAAAGAGGGATGAGTTAAACAAATATAGAAGAAAAGAGAGAAAACAACTAAAGACAAACTGCTTGCATTCCAGGTTCAGCATTAGATGGTGACTCCTGGCTTTTTAAGAATCATACCACCTCTGCAATTTGTTGAAACAGAAAACTGGGCTTTGTTAGGAGGCCAGAAAAACCCTTCTGTTGTTATAGAGGACTTTTTTGAAATTACAGGATTCAAAGAAAAATAATTTAAAGCGTTTTTTTTTTTTTTTTTTAACACTGAAAATGCATCTGTGAAAAAGTACTTTGTGTCCCCTATAATGCTCTCGGTCTCACTCAATAAAAATCCATCATTGGAGTTTTCCTCAAAATGTCTGCTGTGGTCTTTTACACTGATTATATATTATACACTGGGTATTATATACTTGTTTCTATGCAGATATTGTATTATTATCTTTTAATAAGTGGTTGGTGCAATAATATAACTCATAGCGGATTTCACCATTGGTTTACGCTGCATTTCAATCTTAAGAAATTATCCTAATCACCTCAGTACACAGCTGAGACTAACACACCCTAAATGCAAATATAAGCTATGGCTCAACTAATATTCATAAGACAAAATAGCTTTGTACTCTTAAAGTCATTGCATATACTATGAAAAAACAAAATGCCACATTCTGCTAATGGGTGAGTATTTTCCTGAGCTGAGATGTCCTTTGGAATTATTTATATACAATGAAGATGGAACCTTATTTCTCAGGATTTTAAATGATTGATTTTGTAACTATTTTCCATCAATGAAATTTATTAAGACTAAACAGGCCTGCACATTTGCTGGGATTATAAGGGACTTTCAGTTATTCGAACATAAATTAAATGACCACCCTTTGTTAATTTCTATATTTTCCCCTCTGCAATTTTATTGGTGTTCCTTTCTTTATTATTTATTGATTTGCACTTATGATTGCCATTGTAAATGCATATTTAGTTTATCATGTTCAGTTTAAAAAGGTTCCGAGATAAACTGGATAGAAAGCACAAAAGGATTCAGAGAAAACAACAGTCATCAGGTAAACACTTTGTGGCTTCAGAAAAAGCTTTTTGGAATTTAGAGTGTTAGATGTGAGAGTGTCTGTCATTAAAACTGTGTATTTACATTTTAATAACTTTATTGTAATAAATGAAAGGTTTCATGCACATTACATTATGAAATAAATCATACAATAAAGAAAATATTGAAAAAAAACATCATATTCAACAACACAGGATAAATTATTTCTGTATATATCCAACATTTTGTTAAAGAACTAAAAGATATGATGGTGGTATTTTAACATTTATTCGATATATGCACATTACATAATTGTATTACGTAATATTTGTGAAACCATACCTTACATAACACATGTATATGGCACAGTAATTGATTGTAGTATGGAACATTTAATTGTTAAGATTTTATGTTTCTCCCACACACGTGACCTGTGATCCTCAAGACGAGGCTAAACAAGAAACGAGACCTTTTTTATTGCAATACAGCTCTATTATCGGGTTCAATAAATGACCCAACTGCACACCATGCAAAATGTCCGCCTGTGGAAATGGTGAGCTCACCTGTGCGCTCTCAGTGCGCCACTGGCGGAAGCGTGCGGTACTACGGGCCACAGGCGCACGGCCGCCGCGCGGGGGCGCTCAATCAAAGCAGCACGAGCGGCGGCTGCAGGCCGAAACGCTGAGAGCAAATACAGCACAGGCCGCTCTTAGCAAGCAGAGACCCACGAACCTCAACCCACCGCCCGGACCGGGCCATGGCGGCGGAACCGTGCTCGCAAATTGAAGCCGGTGGGCAGCACTCGTTTTTTTCTGCGTCTTTATCGCTAGGAAGACTTTAAGCACTGTTTTAGCATTAGCCTTCGAGGCTAAGCTAAAGCTAACGACTGGTGTTGTTGTGTTTCTCTCTCTGCAGAACTTTATTACCTGATCGCCAGATTCCTGCAGTCTGGACCATGTCAGAAATCCGCTCAGGTGAGGCCGAAAGTAGCGTGTGAGTGTCGGTGTGTAGCGGTGAGTGTGTGTTACGGTGTGTGTAACCCTCTGTGTGTTTCTGCAGATGCTGCTGCAGGAGCTGCACGAATACGAGGTGAGTTTCATCCCTCTTCTCCCACTCAAACCCGTTATTTCTCTCTAATATCCCAACATCAGCATCTCCTCTTCATGTCAAGGCGGCTGCGTGTCTAAATTCTGCGTGTGATGTTTCCCCCCGCTGTGTCTCTGTGTGTAGATCATCCCGAAGCGCTGGAGCTGGGATGGAAAGCAGTTTAAGCGAAGCTTTGAAGACTGGGTGAGATTAAATAAACACTATCGCACACGCACGTGAAATTCAGCACTAAACTCTCACAGGTGCTTGGCTCACTTATATTACAGCGAATAAAACTGAAAAAGCGCTGATTTGAGGGCACGGTGCTGGCAATAAGAATATTGTCTAAAATATACACGAGGCTTTGTTGTGTGGGCAAGTTTTGATTTCGGGAATTGAAATAAAAAGTATTTGTTTTGAAATGAAAGGCTTTGTGCGTGCCGGCCGGAGGCGTTGCGGCAATGTAAATATATCGAGAGGGGAATTGGTGGGTTCCTGTGTCACTTAAAGGCGGCAGCCAATCAAACATCAGTTGCTACTTAAGAGACTAGGAAGATGGTGGAGAAGGCTTCTGATTGGCTTAGGCGAGGCGGACGCTTGTGTGTGGAGGGAAAAAGACGAATCACTCCCCGAGACGACTCGTTCCTCCCGAGTCACATTAAAGATTCGTTCAAAATGAATGAATCGTTCAAGAACGACCCAACACTAAAAAAGAGTGGTCTTTCAGGAATGAGCGTAAATCAATATGGATTATGTTGGTGAAATAAAGCAGAATTCACGCTAGTTTGAAGACTAATAATATAATGTAACACGTTGTTGCAACACTTATTTCTGTGCAGTGTTTTTTCTTTTTAATTTTTATCATGATGCAAATAAGCTTTGCTGTGCCACTTACACTTTATTTATGAAATACCTCTGTGTATGTTTTAGGTCTTGTTAAATCAGCACATACCTGCGGATTACCTGTTGCGTGTGTGTGAGCAGATCGGCCCACTGATAGATAAACACATTCCTCCCAGTGTTCCTGGAGTCCACAGTTTGCTGGGCACAGGCCAACAGTCATTACTACGGACAGCAAAAAGTGAGATGCACACTATATACAGCGAACAATAAGAAACAACAAAGAAGACTAGAGAACAGCGCACATGATCACATTATCACTTTCCCTTATATTCATTTTCTTCCTCTAATACAGTTAAATATTTGACAAACTGTTGTTCTCTCTCTCAGGTTCTTCTCATGCAGTATGGAGTGGTACTGCAGTAGTTGCTTTGCACAGGGGGCGGCCCCCAGAACCACCTCTCAACTGTGCCAAACCACCAACTATAGGTGAGTCCTGCCCTCCCAATTGGTGTATTATGTTCTTGCACTGCTGTTTTTGGGTTTCAGGAGTCACTGGTGGGTTTGTGAACACAGAGTTGAATCCACTCTTTCCAATCGAAAATGGTGCTTAATCATAGCTGATTAAAGTCAGCATGAAATGAAAATTCACCCAATCTAGTTTTAATATTTATTTAATTATTTAGATCTTGCAATATTCAATCATAATGTAATAAATTAATCTTCTGGTGTAAATGTCAGACTTCCCTCTGGTGATGTATGCAAAACTTGTCCAGTCATTTAAGTCTGCTTAAACCTTCCACAATCAACTGCAAGCTATTGAGTGCAATACCCATATTTTTTTCCCTTATTTGATAATCCTTTACACTCGGATGTACGTCAAAATACAAACGAAAACATCTTTCGCTATTTTGTTTCATTGCGACTTTAAAGACTAGTCACTCTACACTTTTCAGTCTATTGACTTCTATTCATGTGCATGCAAATGCGGGAGACCAGAAAAGCAAGATCATGCAATTTTTGCTGGGTTCCAAAATCTAAGTTTGGTGAACTTTGCCCTGTGAATTTGTATCATGTGAAGACATGTGACCAACAGAAAATTGACATGATGTCGCTGTCTTACTTGAACTCAATTAAATGAATGCAAATTTTAAATTTGCAGGATTGCAGTGTTACAGTAAATTGGAGTAGATTGCATATTTTTTTACTTTTTTTTTTTACGTATTATATTTTGATTTATTTTTTCCATATTATGATTATGTAGCGCTGTAGTTTGTCTAGTGTGACTGTAACTTAATGCTGGATGTTAACATGCTATTTAGTGACCAAATAATGTCCTTTAGACCAACTACCATTTCTTATATTTTGTGGTGGGAGTTGATTGTAATCTCTCTGCTCAGTGTCAATCATGGGTGCTCGCCAAAAAACAGGAGTGGCTCGATTTGGCCATGCCTTCCCCTCCTTAACCTATCAGCACATGAAGATGCATCGAAGGATTCTGGGCCATCTCTCATCAGTATACTGTGTGGCGTTTGACCGCACTGGACATCGCATTTTCACGGTAAATGCATCTGATCAGAATATTGCATCTGTTGAGTAACAAACTGTGCCTGATTTAGATGTAAAAGTTTAGTGTGTAAAATTGTTGATGTTAAAGTAATTTCTGAATTCAATAAGTGGTGACGATTATAAACTATGCATAATTTGATGTCCTCAAAAAATGTCATTGCTCAGTTTTGCAATATGTTTTGTGTGTGTGCTTGTAATCAAGGTTTATTCATTTGTTTCTGTCAGGGTTCTGATGACTGTCTAGTGAAGATCTGGGCTACGGATGATGGTCGTCTCCTAGCCACTCTGCGTGGACATGCGGCAGAGATTTCAGACATGACAGTAAATTTTGAGAACACACTCCTTGCTTCTACCAGCTGTGACAAGGTCATCCGCGTGTGGTGCCTGCGTACTTGTGCACCTGTGGCAGTGTTGCAGGGGCACACGGCCTCTATCACCTCCATACAGGTGTGTAAATACAAGTTTCCTTTATAAAGCCACTGTGAGAGTGAAGCGCAGTACTTTGTTCTTTTACACTTGAGCAGCTCATGATCTGGTGATTTCAGCGACTGATCAGCTCAGTTCACAGTAAATGCTGCTCCACACAAACTTCAACTCTACATCTTCTCTAAGTCTTCTCCATAACATGCATTTGGGAAGACAACGCACACCAACCATATTCCCAAACTTGCAGAGAAGCACTTAGAAACCGGCTGTTGTCAACAAAAGAGAAGTTTTAAGGGCTCTTAATTTTTTAACATTTTTAACATTTGAAAATGAAAAATTAGGATAGCCATAAATATTAGTATTGTACTTTTACAGTTGTGCTATAAAATATAATTG